GCTGGTTGGTGGGGTCATTGCTGTGATCTTATCGATAACTTCTGTCGGGATCTGACGACGCCCATCTTGCTATTTCACCACCAGGAACTGGATCTCTCGGGCAGGTCCCTTAACCTTACTCTTCTTTATGGCAAAACCGGCTCCCAGGAGGATCTGGATGATTTTCTTTCTTTTCTCAGAAACCTCCGTTGCTGTGTCCCCCCATATGATGATGTCATCAATGTACTGCAGGTGTTCTGGAGCCTCACCCTTCTCTAGTGTGGCCTGGATCAGTCCGTAGCAGATGGTGGGACTGTGTTTCCACCCCTGGGGCAGTCGGTTCCAGGTGTACTGCACGTCCCTCCAGGTGAAAGCGAACTGTGGTCTATACTCTGCTGCTAAGGGAATGGAGAAGAATGCGTTCGCGATGTCAATAGTGGCATACTACTTCGCTGTCTTGGACTCCAGCTCATACTGGAGCTCTAGCATGTCTGGAACAGCAGCACTCAGCGGTGGGGTGGTTTCATTCAAGCCACGATAGTCCACAGTCAATCTCCATTCTCTGTTAGACTTATGCACAGGCCAGATGGGACTGTTGAAGGGTGAATGGGTCTTTTTTTCCTGAAGGTTTTTTTTCCTGGCAATAAGGGATGTTGTTTCCTGTTTTCAGCTCTGACTCCCAACTGCCAGTCTGACTCCCAAAATTGCATACGGAAGAAGATTCCTCCCAGAAGAAAGGTACCAGAACAAAGAGCTCTTGCTGCTCATGGAGTGCCCATCCTGGCCCAGCAGCTGCACCACAAAGCCAAAGTTTCAAGGCTTTCTTCTGTGGGGATAAGGGCTGTTGCTTCCTGTTTTCCATGCTGCCTCACATCTCCCTGCCCGACTCCTAAAATTGCATACAAACAAAGATTCCTCCCACAGCAAAGATGCCAGCACAGAAAGCTCTTGCTCTCAATGGAGTGCCAAGTCTGGTCCACCAACTACAACAAAAAGTCAAAGCTTCCAGGCTTTCTTTCCTGGCGATACAGGCTGCTGTGTCCGGTTTTGAACCGTGCCTCCCAACTTCAAGCCCGACTCCCAAAATTGCATACAAACAAAGATTCCTCCCAGAACAAAGGTGCCAGCACAGAGAGCTCTTCCTCCCAATGCAGTCTCCAGCCTGACAAACAAACTGCACCACAAAGTCAAAGTTTCCAGGTTTTCTTTCCTGGCGATAAGGGCTGTTGTTTCCTGTTTTCCTGCCCTGCCTCCCAACTGCCAGACCGACTCCCAAAATTGCATACAGTCGAAGATTGCTCCCAGACTAAAGTTGCCAGCACAGAAAGCTCTTGCTGCTCATAGAGTGTCCATCCTGCCCCAGCAGCTGCACCGCAAAACCAAACTTTGAAGGTTTTCTTTCCTGGCGATAAGAGTTGTTGTTTCCTGTTTTCAGCCCTGCCTCAAAACTGCCAGACCAACTCCCAAAATTGCATACAAACAAAGATTCCTCCCAGAACAAAGGTACCAGCACAGAAAGTTCTTGCTGCCCATAGAGTGTCCAAGTTGATCCACCAAGTACACCAGAAAGCCAAAGGTTCCAGACTTTCTTTCCCGGGGAAATGCCTATTGTTTCCTTTTTTCAACCCTGCCTCCCAACTTACAGTCCGACTCCCAAAATTGCATACGGATGAAGATTCATCCCGGAACAAAGGTGCCAGCACAGAAAGCTCTTGCTGCCCGTAGAGTGCCCAGGTTGACCCACCAAGTACACCAGAAAGACCAAGTTTCCAGTCTTTCTTTCTTGGGGAAATGCCTATTGTTTCCTGTTTTCTGCCATGCCTCACATCTACCAGCCTGACTCCCAAAATTGCATATAAACAAAGATTCCTCCAACAGCAAAGGTGCCAGCACAGAAAGCTCTTGCTCCCAATGGAGTACCTAGCCTGGTCCACCAACTGCATGACAAAGTCAAAGCTTCCAGGCTTTCTTTCCTTGCAATAAGGGTTGTTGTTTGCTTTTTTCAGCCGTACCTCCCAACTGCCAAGTCAACTCCCAAAATTGCATACGGACAAATGTGGGGTGAAGTCACAGCCCCACAACTAAAGTTTGAGGGTTTTGGAATGTTTTAAAGTGTTGGGTCGTTTTTCATGGGAGCATTGGAGCTAATTAGATAGTTCCCATGGACACAGCCTTGAGTTGCATGGTTGAGTGCAGGTGCAGCATTCCTCAGTGTTTTTGTGGGAATATGTTTGTCTTGTGTGTGTGGGAAAGTAGAAGAGGGAGAACTGAATAAAAAGCTACCTGCTGCGCTAAACAGGCAGACATCTCTCTGGTTCTTCATCCTAGTGTGTGTCTCTTCATCCTAGGTGTGTGTGTGTCGCTTGTCTTTCTTCCCCCCCTCGGACCAAGGCCTTCGACAAATACCCCTCAACAATTGGTGCCCCATGTGGACCAGAAAAAGACTGTCGAGTATTGTCTGGGTCATCTGGGTATCGCAACCGGAGGCAGGTGAGCTGCAGGGCGAAGCGCAGCAAGGTCTTGGTGCTCAGGAGTTGTTAAAGTAGCAGGGAGTACTGCAGGACCCGGATCCGATTGTTCTCTACACTAGCAGGCAAGTGTTTCTGCCACACTTGGAAGGCACAAGTTGCCTGGAGAGCCTGGGTGCATCTGGCACTTGGTAAGGTGCAGGTGAACTCCTGGGAACTTTTTCCTAGTCGCCGTGGGGGTAGACCATGTGTGCAAACGAAAGGCGTGTGTTTATCGCCTGGAAAGCTTTGTTACGGCGTTTTGGTGTTAGACCGACGAAGTTATGTCGCTTGTTAGTTTTGTGTCTTCAGACTGAGAGAGAGGCTGCTTTGCCTGGGAGGAAATTAGAGTGCTAAAGAAAAGGGGCCGGGCAGAGTCGAAGGGAGCCAAAACGGGATCGGAGGTTGCGGAGCAGGGTCGGGGACAACCGAGAGGCACCGTCAAGATGGACGCACTGCTAGCGACTCGGCAGTACTTGTCCAAGATGATCAAGGACAGTTACAGCATGAATGTGCTGTTGATGTACTGGGAGACGATCTTGTGGACGCGGTGACTGGATTTCACCTTGAGGAGCTTTCTATGTCTCCTCCGGACGGTGTCGTGTCTGGTCCATCTGTGTCCGCGCGGGCAGCGGCAGCCGTGGTGTGGCCCCGGCGGCAGCGGTCGTGGCCCTGGGTGCTGGAGGACTTGTAGCAGCTGCGGTCCCAGGCGCCGGCTCCGGGCGGAGCGGTCCCGGCCCCGGCGCGGCGGGCAGCGGCAGCAGCGGCTCCGTGCGTGATTGCGGTGCTGTGCCCGGCCCCAGCCGGCGCCCAGTCGGGGGCCGCCGGGATAGCCGCGGCGACCCCGGCTCAGAGCGGTTCGCCCACGCATGCGCCGGCGGCGGCCCCGGTAACGGCGGCCGCGGGCCCCGGCGCAGCGGACAGTGGTGGGGTCTGTTTTCCCCCGCGCTGCCTACAGCCATGGTCCCGAGCGGTGTTGCGGGGGAGTAGCGGGCTGGTAGCGGCGGCCGCGGTGTCAGGCAATGCAGTGGGGAGGCTGTCTGCGTTGTCCCCTGTTTTACACCCCTCCCCAACCCCCCCCCTCCCCGGAACGTGTCCACCTGCAGCTGTTCCTTCCCTCCTGTATATCGTTCTTTCTCACCGGATCATGTAGCTAGCTTGCGACATAAGGACAGCAAGGGCAATTTGACTTCTCTTCCTGATTTTTTTCTCCGAATGAACCCAAGCCCTATTCCCCTTCTTCCCCCTCCCTCCCTCCCTCTCCCCCGTCCTCCGACAAATGCTAGTGAAAGCTCCCTTAACGAAGCTACACTTTTGCTTCCAGGGGGACCGAGTGCTCAAGAGAAACAGGAGACGCAGGGGGGACAGAGGGCGAGAAGAGGTGAAGAAGGGAAGACAAAAGGGGGTAGTCCTGCCTCTTGCAGAAGTGGTTCTGTTGCCGTTAGGACAAATAGAGTGTCCTTGCTCTATGAAAAAGGTTGAAAATTTCCAAGGTAATATCCTGTCCGTTCCCATCGTATTTGTCTTTTGCATGGAGAGTTGTACAAGATTTACAAGTTAATATTAGCAAATATACCTTAAATTCCCTTTAAGTTATGAGACTGATGAGAACTACACAGCCAATAACAATTTTAGGATGTGTGTGTGAATGCTGGATGACTGAGGTGGCCACCTAAATGCATGAGTGGAAAAAGATTGTGTGAAAGAGAAAAGCTACATGAATGTGTAACTGTGTAAACTTACAAATACTTTCTGCCGGTGTCAAGATTTTACAGAGATGTGTAACATGATTCTGTTGAACCATAGTTAGTCCTTATTCTGGATGGTATATGAACTCTTCAAATTCCCACCATGAGTAATTCCACTCTTATGAAAACTGGTGAGGTTTTAGTTATTTCAAGACTAACCCTGTCTGGTTAGCCATATGATCAGGACTGAAGTTAAATAAGAGATTCTTAAAAAAATTTGACGTTCTATTTCAGCCTTGTTTCAGAGGTTTATAGAGGTTAAATCTCAGGTGGAGCCTTTCCACTGGTGCTGTTCCTTTTTTCATGTGTCATGCTGCCCATTAACTGTAACTGTGTGGACTGTGTAGGAGGCAGAGTCGTTTGAGCTTTTCTGTGTTTTCCAGGGTTTAAATTAAGGGTTGTCGATATTGCTGCCCTGCTTGATCAACCTGTTGCGGGGGGGGGGCCCTGCAGACTGTCAGGGCCATTCTGCGTCCTTTCTCAGAAGCATCAACAGCGTTACAGATAGTGTGTCTCTAGGCCTCCTGATTGGAGACCAGAGTACACCAGTTATGTTAATCAGTGTGGCCAGGGCTGCGATGTCGTTTCAGGGAGTCCTTGTGTCTTCTCTTCAGGGCTCCTCTCATGCGGCAGCTGGTGGCAATATTCATCGTAAAACAGCTAGTCCTTCATCCTTGGGACGTGCCCTACCTATGGCAACTGTGTTTTCAGAAAAATGTCCTCAATGCTTGTGACTGCTGCTTGTTCTATACCAGACATATTGATCACATAATCTGACTGGTGGATGTTTAGCATTGTACGAAGGCAGCGTGGGTTAAGTGCCTTGTTAATCAGCCATTCTAGTAGCACAATTGCAGGATTTTGGGATTTTTTGTTCATGTTGCAGTCATTGATGCTAACTATACAAGACAGATTTGTGCTATGGTCTCCACACCTTATCCTTCAGTGACAATTCCTAAAGGGACACGAATAACTCAACTTGTATGTTTTCTGAGTTGTGTTCCCCAAGCAGAGCCTCACGAGCGTTGGGATGGAGGATTTGGTTCTACTGATGCACCATAAATCTTTTGGTCAGTGCCGATCTCTGCACCATGTCCACGGTTGACCTGTACTCTCTACGATACTTGAAGCTTGCTGTCAGTTGTCTGCATTTGGGACCTGACGGACATCCTGGTCGACCTCCTGGCCTGTGGTCATGCCAGGGGTTTGGGTTGTGAGACTGGGAGGTACTGCTCAGAATTTTCTTTTACAACGTACAGATCCTGTGTGACTTCAACAGTGGCTCATACCTACAGAACAGCTGTTGGCTCTGCAACAACTTGTTAAAGATCAACTTGATGCTGATCACATTGAACCATCTCAGAATCCTTTAATCACCCTGTCTTTGTGATAAAGAAAAAATCTGTGAAATGAAGACTGTTGCATGATCTCAGACAGGTTGGTGCGGTCATGGTTACCATGTCAGCATTGGTTTATTGACCCCTTCTATGCTTCCTGCTGAATAACCCATTGTTATTATTAATTTGACAGGTTGTTTTTTCATGATTCAGTTAGACCCCAGTTATAGAGAAGAAAAAATCGCATTTTCAGTTCCATCTATTAAACATGCAGAACCTTACAAGTGTTATACATAGAAAACCCTCTCCCAGGAAATGAAAATATTCCTATAATTTGTCAATGGTTTATGATTCCAACATTATCTCCTGTAATTTTCTGAGTGTCTTTTGTTGTCATTATATAGGTAATATTTCTGCTGACTGTGGCCACTGAGGATCAGTTGGGTGTGTTGGAAGCTGAAACCAGAAAGAGTCTACAATCCTTCGGCCTAGTAGTTGCTCCTGAGAAGGTGCAGCGAGAGGAACCCTGGAAGTATTTAGGGTTCAAAATCACACGAAAAGCAGTTATTCCTCAGCCAGTTCAATTGGATATTAATGTCAAAACTCTTACTGATGTAAAAAAGCTATTAGGATTAGGTCCTATTTGGAATTGGCAAACACCCAGCTGGCACCTCTATTTGACCTACTCAAACATTCTGACAATCCTCAGGAACCAAGGGAACTGACTAAAAGAGCAGTTCAAACCATCCAGCAAGTAGAGCAGGCTTTATATTCTAAATTTGTTTCACAAATTGTCATTGTCAAATTGTCTAATTTTTTTATTTTTGCAGATCACAGTGTTCCTTTTGGGGCATTGGTACAGTGGTTTGACCATTGGTCTGATCTACTGCACATCACAGAGTGACTATTTTTTGCCTTTTCGGGCTCAAAAAAACCCCAAACTACTCCTGGATTGTTTGAACTCATAGCTCAAATCATCATTGAGGCTAGAAAAAGGTGTGGAGAGTGTTCTGACAGAAATCCAGAGCGCATTGTTTTACCTGTACAATCTCGTTACTTTGAGTGGTGCCTTGGAAACAAATGTGAATTGCAAGCTGCTTTAGCTGGGTTCCACGGCCAAATTTCTTATCATTTACCTTCACATCCCCTTCTTAAGTTTTTTCTTAGGGAAATTCCAATTGGACAAAAACACTACGCAGCGCAGAGCCCCTTGATGACCTTACAGTCCTTGCGGACAGCTCAAGGAAGACAAGTGAAACTGCGGTAGCATGGAAAGCAGAATGTGGATGGCAACATCAAATTGTTCATCAAGAGGGTTCTCCTCAAATTGTGGAACGTCGAACTGTAACTCTTGCTTTTCAGTTATTTCCTAATCGGTCTTTAAATGTTATTACTGATTCTGCATATGTTGTTAATTTATTACAGCAACTCTATCAGGCGGTGTTGTATTGTCCATCTCCATGTCTTATTTTTCAAGTTTTGTTCGAGCTCTAGAGAACTCTTTTGCAGAGACCTGTTCCTTATTTTGTGCTACATGTTTGTAGTCATACCTCTTTGCCAGGTTTCTTCACAGAGGGTAATGCCCGAGCAGATGCTTTTGTTTTTGCTGTCACTTTGAGACTTGTTCCTAACATTCACCAGCAAACTGTCTTGTCTCATTAGTTTTTTTATTATCAAGGTGCAGAAACTTTCAGATGTCGATTTGACTTGACTCATTCTATTGCTCGCTTAATTGTTGCCTCCTGTCCAGACTGTCATGATGCCTATACAATTGTCCAGATTGTCATGATGCCTATACTGCTGTCTATTTTGGTACTAACCCTCGAGGTCTTAAGACCTTACAGATGTGGCAATTGGATGACACTCATGTCAATGAATTTGGTAATTTAAAGCATGTCCATGTGTCCACTGACATGTTTTCCCATGTGGTGGTTGCTAGTGCACATACTAGACAAAAAAGCCATGATGTCATTAAACACTTCCATTGTGCTTTTGCTACATCTGGAGCACCCGCTCAAGTGCGGATGTCTTATAAGCTGTCTTATGTCTGTAAATCTGTCCAAATTTTCTTTGCTTTGTGGAGGATCACTCATGTTATGGCTATTTCACCTTCTTCTACAGGACACGTTATTGTGGAGAGAGTGTATGGTGCCCTGAAGCACTTGCTTAAAGAATAGAAAGGGGGAATGAAGGGATAACTCCCTCAGTCTCTAGGCTAGACAAAGCTCTGTATGTCTCAAACATTTTGACCTTCTCTGACGATTGTCTTTACCTTCTTTTAGAGTTTCAGGAAAAATATGCTGTGCTTGGCAAAAAACCTCCTCCCAACTGATAATCTTGTGATCCCTGTAAGAACTGAGGACAGAGCACAGCATGCAGATGCAGAACTTGTCTCTGGTCAATGGTCTGATCCACATGACTTGATAACTTGGGGAAAGGGATATGTTTGTCTCTACAGATAATAGTCCTCGCTGAATACCTGCGCGGTATGTACGTCCTGCTGTTGGTCCTGGAAGTCGTCAGTGCAGTTCCTGACCTGTCAAAGTTCACTCCATGGCATAGTCGAAACTTCTGGGTGACTCTAATGAAGGAACTAAATCACGCGACCTTTTGTGCATCACTGGCGTATCCAGAGCAACCATTTTACACCTGTCTTGTTGGTGTTCCTCTGAATGACATGGAAGCATCTCTCCTGGTGCAGGATGTCATCCAACAGCGTGACTTATTAAAACGAGACTGTCATACTGTGCGCAGGTGTCTTGATCATGTTGATAGCTGGGATGATGTGTTGTCTGTTAACACTTCACTTCAAAAGTTAGGTATTTTAGAGTCACTGTTTGTAAAAGACTGTGTGTATTTTAATCATTGTGTAGGTTATGACATAGAACGAGCACGTGGTGAGTCTGTGGTATGGGATGTGTTCCCTGAATCATCTTTCTATAAAAATAGTTGCTTCTGGTGTCGGTAAGAATCCGACTTGGAGTACTCCAGCAGTGAGTGCACATTGTTGACTCCCTACGGGAGTGTTTCTTCTGTGTGAAGATAGAATCTAGCCAGGAATCCCTACACAGCCAATAGGGGGGCCTTGTACATCTAAAAAGTTGGTGGTTGTAGTTGTGTTGCTGATGCTGCCTTGTCTAGTGTCGTTCCTGCAAAGGGCACTCCAGGATACGATACGGGCAGTCTCTGTTGCTCAACTACAGAACAGGGAGGAATTGTGGGGTGAAGTCACAGCCCCACAACTGAAGTTTGAGGGGTTTGGAATGTTTTAAAGTGTTGGACCGTTTTCCATGGGAACAGTGGAGCTAATTAGATAGTTCCCATGGACACAGCCTTGAGTTGCATGGCTGAGTGCAGGTGCAGCATTCCTCGGTGTTTTTGTGGGAATATGTTTGTGTTGTGTGTGTGGGAAAGTAAAAGAGGGAGAACTGAATAAAAAGCTACCTGCTGCGCTAAACAGGCAGACATCTCTCTGGCTCTTCATCCTAGTGTGTGTGTCGCGTGTCTTTCTTCCCCCCCTCAGACTAAGGCCTTCGACAGATACCCCTTGACAGACGAAGACTCCTCCCAGAATACAGTTGTCAGCAGAGAAAGCTCTTGCTTCCCATGGAGTGCCCAGCCTGGTCCACCAACTGTACCACAAAGCCAAAGCTTGAAGGTTTTCTTTCCTGACCATAAGGACTGTTTTTTGCTTTTTTTAGACCTACCTCCAAACTGCCAGCCCGACTCCCAAAATTGCATAAAAAGAAAGATTCCTCCCACACCAAAGGTGCCAACACAGAAAGCTCTTGCTGCAGTGGAGTCTCCAGGCTGAGAAACACACTGCGGTACAAAACAAAAGCTTCCAGGCTTTCTTTCCGGGGGATAAGTCTGTTGTTTCCTGTTTTCTGCCCTGCCTCACAACTGCCATCCCGACTCCCAAAATTGCATACAAACAAAGATTCCTCCCAGAACAAAGGTGCCAGCACAGAAAGTTCTTGCTGCAATGGAGTCTCCAGGCTGACAAACCAACTGCACCACAAAACCAAAGCTTCCAGGCTTTCTTTCCTGGCGATAAGGGCTGTTTTTTCTGGTTTTCTGTTTCCTGCCTCCCAACTGCCAGCCCGACTCCCAAAATTGCATACAAACAAAGATTCCTCCCAGAACAAAGGTGCCAGCACAGAAAACTCTTCCTGCCAATGCAGTCTCCAGGCTGACAAAAAAACTGCACCACCAAACCAAAGCTTCCAGACTGATTTTCCTGGGGATAAGGACTGTTGTTTTCTGTTTTCAACCCTGCCTCCCAACTGCCAGCCCGACTCCCAAAATTGTGTATGGACGAAGACTCCTGCCACACCAAAGGTGCCAGCACAGAAAACTCTTTCTGCTCATAAAGTGCCCAGGCTGAGAAACACACTGCAACACAAAACCAAACCTTCCAGGCTTTCTTTCTTGGGGATAAGGGTTTTTGTTTCCTGTTTTCAACCCTGCCTCACATCTGCCAGCCCGACTATCAAAATTGCATTTCAACAAAGATTCCTCCCAGACTAAAGTACCAGCAAAGAAAGCTCTTGCTGCTCATGGAGTGCCCAAACTGGCCCACCAGTTGCACCACAAAGCCAACGCTTCCAGGTTTTCTTTCCTGTCAATAACAGCTGTTCTTTGATTTTTTTCAGACCTGTTTTCCAACTGCCAACCAGACTCCCAAAATTGCAAATGGATGACGATTCTTCCCAGAACAAAGGTAGAAGAACAGAAAGCTCTTGCTGTCCATAGAGTACCCAGGCTGACCCACCAAGTACACCAGAAAGCGAAAGTTTCCAGGCTTTCTTTCGTGGGGAAATGGCTATTGTTTTCTGTTTTCTGCCCTACCTCACATCTGCCAACCCGACTCCCAAAATTGTATATAAACAAAGATTTCTCCAACAGCAAAGGTGCCATCACACAAAACTCTTGCTCTCAATGGAGTGCCTAGCCTGGTCCACCAACTGCACCACAAAACCAAAGCTTGAAGGCTATCTTTCCTGGCAACTAGGCCTGTTGTTTTCTGTTTTGAACCGTACTTCCCAACTGCCAGTCCGACTCCCAAAATTGCATACGGACGAAGATTCCTCCCAGAACAAAGGTTCCAGTACGTAAATCTCTTCCTTCCAATTCAGTCTCCAGA